TAAAGATGAATGCTATTTAAATGCACCTAAACCTCACTATTTGTTTTTTCTTTTTTAATATCTAACATTAGACTTTCAAGAGCATCTGGGATTTTATTATACCAATTATAACTCTTAACCTCATTATCTGACTGTTCATCAGCATTATCATCTATTTCTATATTAGTCTTATCATATAATTCTTTAATTTCTTTAATAGATTTTTTAACATTCTAAAAAGTATATAACCTTTTGTTGTTGCTGATTTTTTCTTCTTTTAGTGCAGCTTAAGTTTTCTATATAATATAATCTATGTATTTCTTGAGAAGCATATTCCTAATAATACTTTTTTGCTGCTTTTTGAAGTTTTTTACAATACTTACAGCATTATTATTTTCTATTGGTTTATCATGAATAAAAAATTATTATTATTATAAATAAAAGTATTATCAATGTCAGAATTTTTAATATCATCATAGCCTTTCAGCTCATTATAGAAAGAAATATCATTAAGATCAGGATAACATTTAAAATTAAATACGTTATCAATATCAATGTTATTTTTGGTATACTGACACTTAGTTTTTTATCTCACAAGCTTTTTTAGGTGTTTTTGATATTTTGTTAGATGTAATATATTGGAATATTATCATATAGGTAAATCAACTTTTTTATTATTAATTAATATTAATTTTTTTAAAAAAAAGATTTTTTTAACCACAAAATGTAAAGTAAAAAACTTATATTTGTATTAAAAAAGCAAAACTAAGTTATGCGTATCATTTATTAATTGGCTAATATATCTAATATTGTGAAATTCATTTGAATTCTAAAAGTTGAAATCTTGAAACCCATTTATCACATCCTATATATGGTCATATTTATCATACACCTTTCATGATGTAAGCCAATATTAATGTGACAAATAATTTTGATTTCAGGATTTTAAATTAACTCAATACCACAACAATTCAATAAATACTGAAACATTTTAGAATATACTTTCAAGCATTTTAACTGATAACATCTTTATTATTTTTCATTAATTATAAATGTTAATTTATTATATATATATAATATACAAATATAAATCCTAATCATTATGATGATTTTCAAATCATTTTATTACGTGATATGTATATGCACTAATAAAATTACGAGATTTTTCTATCATATAATAAATGATTGATATCTCAAATTTGGCCGCTTAAAAATTTTTTGGTTGAGACTAAGTTATATGTACTGTAATAAAATAAATATTATTAAAAATTATAAGTTAAAATCTATGAAATATCTATAAAAAATCTATGAAAATAAAGTTTTAGCATTTCAGCATTTTAATTATTAAAGACTAAATAGTTTCAGTTTCATTATATGACTAAATATTTCAGTTTAACTCAGCATTATTATCTGAAATATTAATTTATAATATTTAAATATATTATAAAAAATAACTCTTACATTTTTATTATTTAATTTAAAGGCAATTACATCTAGAATCAAATTATATGATAGCATAAAATACATTTTATGGTCAGTTATATGTGTGAATAAACAGATTATGTATAATAAGTTATCTAACTAAAAGTATCTTACATTTACACTTCAGATAATAATTATTAATATTTTAACTTTTAATATTTATAAAATAATTTTAATTATATATAATAATAACATTTTTTAATTAATATTATTGCAGTCAATTTTTTAAGATGCTTATAAATGATAAGCGAAGCAATATTTTTAGATGGTAAGCAAAAGGTTTATTTTATAATTAGTTTTAAAAGAGTGTCGATCAGTTGACAGTTTATTTAATAATAATAATAAATAGGTATTGCCTCAGTCAGTGCTCTGTCCTATACAAGTATATTAGAGAGATTAAAGTAAAACTATTTAATAAAACTACTTATCAAATACACTTTAGACACAAGATATCTTACTAAGCTAAAAGAAAATGTCCTCTATTTATAAAAAAATAAAATACATAAAATTATTAAAAAAATAAAAAAAATAAATATAATATATGAGATAAAATATAATAAAATAAATATATAGCATAAATGAAATAAAATAAATAAATAAAATATATTGTATAAAAGAAATATATGATATAGATGACATAGATGACATATAAGATATATATGACTTTCTAGTGATTAATATCATCCTTTTGATCATCATCATTTATGTCTTCTTTCGTATAATAATATTTTTATATATATTATATGTATATAAGTTAAAATTTATTAAAATAATACTTAGATTTTATATAATAAGAAAATTGATTAAAATATTATATAAATAAAGATTGTTATAAAATTATTAATTCTCTAACCCTAATTCTAATTTTTAATTATTTTTATTTTTATTATTTAAGAAAAATCATATAGTAAATATAGTAAATTAACAAATTTAAGAAACTTTTAAGTATCTTAATACTTAATAATTTGTTTAATAATAAATTTCATATATAAAAAATAATACTTATTTTGTTTAATAACTTAGAATAATCATTTAATTATAAATATTATAAAAGTTATCATATGAATTGTTGAATAAATGATTTTCTTTAAAACATGAATAAATGTTCTAAATGAAAATAAAAACTATTTTTTTTAAAAAATATATATATATATATAAATAAAATATATATATATATATAAATAAAATATATATATATATATAAATAAAATATATCTACATGAAAATAAAAGGATATATATTTATATTATTTAAATAAAATTTCCATCACTCTCAAAAAAGATATATGAACCCTTTGCAATAGAAAGGGAGGAAACTGCCGGAAAAAAAAACCAAATTTACTTTTATATGGCAGATATATATTTTTTTTTAGGTCGAGATTTAACATTAACTCATTTTTTATTTTCCCGGCAGTTTCCCCCCTTCCTATTGCAAAGATTCCATATGTATAAACAAATAAATAAACAAATATATATATATAATTATAGAAAAAGTGAATATAATTACATGAAAAACAAAAGAAATAAAGAATTACTAAATTTACTAAATAAAGAAAGGAAAAGAAAATAAAAATATTAAAGAGCTGAAAGTACTAAAATACATAATAGTAAAGAGTATAACGGAAAAATTATAAATATTGACCAGAATCATCATTATCATCATCATCAAATTTTGATCTCTTTTGATTAGATTCTCCGCTTGAATTAAGTATGAAATCAAGTGCTCCTTTTGACTTACGTTTTTGAGGTGTGGGTCTTAAGACAGGTGATTGTTGTGGTATTTGTTGAATAACTTGAAGTGATCGATGTTGGTGATTAAATGATTGTAATGGTGCATTGTGTGTAAAATTGATAAACCTTGTATTATTACCATATACTTCGGGGATTTGCGAAAATCTCTGTGGAATGGTTGATATCGGAGATTGTAAAGGCAAGTCATGTATAGATGGTGATGCGGAAGAAATTATTGATTCTGGTCTTGGTGGTGGATAAGAGAAACCTGTTACAGACAACTGCCTTTGACGTGTATATGTATTAGGAACATTCTGTTGATATGAAGGATTATTTATACCAGATAACGTATGCCGTCTAGGTATAGGTCTAAGCACTTGTGGAAGATTTGAGTTATTAAGATTGCTCGTAGTAAATCTTTCATGTTTCTCCTCCCCATCCTCATCTTTATCAGTAGTTACTGGATATTCTTGATAGCTATTTAACATTGTGCTTTCATGCAATTCTGGTTGGTCCCAAGGATTCGCATCTTCACTAGAAGATTTTTCTTGATGACTATAAATTTGTTCACTCATAACACCATTTGATTCAATTGATTCACCATCCACTGTTATTGTTGAAAAAGTTTTTGAAGTTGTCATCCGAAATTGTTCTTTCGAACTTAAATCGTTATCAGATGACGTCTGTTCTATATCGTCATCAGATAACACCTGTTCGCTTTCGTTTTCTTTATCATTTGACTTAATATCAGAATCATCATTTGATGATTCTTCATCACTTTGATCTAATATTTTAGATTCATGATTTATTATATCGTTTCTTCTCATTAATTCAAGACCCTTCGAATGAACAAGTATCGGTGATGTTATAGGAGAAGGTTCCGATTTTATAGTTACTTCACTAATTTCCTCTAGTGCTTTTCCTATATTCTTAGAAGGATCCTGAATATCAACTAATCGTTTTTCTAATTCTACATGATTTATTGACTGTGCTTGTACTTGAAGTGTTGGTGATGTCAATGGTTGAGCATCAAGTTGTATAGATTGCCTTCGTTTCCAATTCTCTCTTATAATAGATGTTCGTTTTTCTAACTAAATAAATTATTTATTTTAAAATACATCAATGTTTAAATAATATAGATTAAATATCCGCAATATAATAATTACCATGTCTCGCGATACAGCGTTTTGTATTCTTTTCCGGACATGTTCCACTATACTTTCATGATCAGCTACATGTTTTTCATGCGCAAATCTTAAAAACCTACAATATTGATATTTTCAATTTAGATCACCCCAATATAAAAAATAAAATTTATAATTATTGATATCTGACCTCCATCCACCATCACGTGAGTACGGTGGGACTCCTTCATGTTTGTCATACCTTAAATAATGAAAAAAATTTAATAAACACTTATATACATACAATTATAACCTAAATTAACTCACCAGAATGTGGCAATTTTACCGTCCGGGGGATTACCTTGCCATCTATATAACGATAATTTTATCATAAAGTTAGTATTCTTATTATTCATAATCTTAACTAATATTAGAATACTTACTGAATAGCAATATTTGATTCTGGAGTTAATGTTAATTGATCATAAAACTTATGATTCCTATCATCAAATGTCAACAAATGATATATAGGTTTCTTATCTTCTTTGAAATATAGTACTTTAATCATGAAATCGACCGTGTACTGCGTGATTGGTTTCCATAATAGGCTAGTGATCGACACAAAATTGAGCAGATCCGTTAATTAATAAATTAAGGTTTGCTAAGCCACCGAGCAAAAAATTATAAATAAAATGGAAAATTTTTTTTTTATCGATTCTTGACTTTAACTTACAGTTTCTTACATACTCCAGGTTCATATGGATGATTTACCGGTATGAATGTTAACTCATCATTTTCATTTCCATTTAAAACATTTATCAGTCCATATGATAGTTCCATTGATTTTATTTCCATCCTTTTTATTTTTTTTAAAAAAAAAAAAAAAAAATTTAGTATCGAGAAAAAAAAATTTTTTATTTATTTTGCAAAAGAAAATATTTACGTAAATGGCATTTTTTTTTTGATTTCGACATTTTTTTCCAGCATAGCGTTTAACGGTTCTAGTACGTCGTGCCTCAGCATCTAAAAAAAAAAAAAAAATTAGCCAAAACAAAAAGATAAAATTTCTTTTTTTTTCTTAGAAATTAAATACTTACTCCCATTCGTTTGCTATATGGTCTTTCTATAAGAATACTTCCATTACAAACCATCAGATCGAATATTAAATATCGTAAACATTGCTACACAATAAATTAATGTATTAATTATGAAATTAAATAAAGAAATATATTTAATATACGAACTTTATTTTCCGTGTCCATGACCATCTCACCATCCATCATTGTTTCGTTATGGATAAAACTATGATTAGAACGTAATGGTAACTTGAATCCAGTTAATATTCGAAATTTACATGATTCGTCCATCTGCATTTATTTTAATAAATAATCTTTTATATTAAATAAAATAAAATAAAATAAAATAAAAAAAAAAAAAAAAGAAACAAAATGTACCATGAATGCTGTGCCACCATCGACGGCCGTGAAAAACAAGATATATCGTTTCCCGTCAGTTTTATCTCTTACAAAATAATCTTCTTTTTCTAGCAATTCAATATGTTTTGATTCGAATTCAACAGGTCGAGATCCGGGAAATCTATTTATAGAAAAAAAAATTTGTATAAGTATAATCAATCAATCATGAATAGAAATAAAAATTTTGAATCAAATAGCCGAAATTACCCTTGGTTTTTATGACGCAATAACTCTTTTATTCGTGGTAATAAGGTATTTGCATAATCATCATTCAACCTGAGACCTACTTTGATATCAGGACGTTGATTTAAATTATATGCCATTTGCGATAAAATTAAATATATATTTAATGCTTTAAACGAAAATCTCGGTAAAAAAAAAAAAAATAATAATAATAAAATAAAACTAAAAAAGAATGGAAAGGTTGGTTGACGTAATGGGCAGATCAAAAAAAAAAAGGTTCAGTTGAAATATACAAGAACGGAAAAACTGAGTAGAAAAACTGTGTGGAAAAACTATTTGGATAAAAGTTGATTGAATATATCAGTTGATGGAAAACTTTATATGTTCGTAACGTCATCTGTCGCACAGACAAACCTTTTATTCATCCAATGAAATATAATTTAGCATATCAATTAAATTGTTTAAAACTGTAAGTCAAGAGGGGGGAAAAAGAAGACTTTCTAAAGCGGAATGGTTTATAAACATCCGAAGGGCGGGCCAAACGGTAAAACCAAACATTCCAAACTAGGGTAAAAAAAGTTGTGCCTAAAGAATTTTCAATAATGACAAAGGAGAATCTCTGAAAATGGAAAGTTTGGTAACCGCAGCTTGCATAGCAAGTTGGAAATGATCGACTTACGAATAAAGTTATGTGCCGGCATGAAGTTTAAAATTAAAGTTTCTTATGAACAATGTACGAACCATGCGGGACCAGATAACCGAACATTAATGTAACCCCAACCTTTATTTTTATTTATTTTTATTTTAAATAATACAAGACAATAATAATGACACTAAGTTAATCTATGAAGGACGTTCTGGTACAGCATGAACAGGTTGTGGAGGTGATGGAGACGATGGAGGTGGTGATGGAGGCGGTGGTGGTAAAGGCGGCTCAATTGATAGTTGTGATTGTGATTCATTGTTATTTGAATTTGAATCTAATTCTACCATTTGAATGGTTTCTTGAGGAGAAGCAATTGATCCTTGGTCACCTCCATTAGAAGAAATATTTTCATTGATAATGTGATGATATTTAGGTAAACTAAAACCTTCGTAAGGAGGTAATTCTTCATCAATAGAACCAGCATATGATGGAATATCAAATAAGTCTCTCCTACGATTAACTGGAAGATTATTAATATAATTTCCGTTAAAGTTTTGAATATTATTATCATTATCATTCCTTCTAATTCCACTCCTTAACAAATGAATACATCTAAATATCCAATATATAATTTCCACGAATACAGCGATACCAATGATACCAAATACCCAATATAATATATTATTCTTTCGTCCGGGTTCGGCTACAACATTATCATTGTCAGGTTTGTCATCTGTCGGAAGAAAAGGGGAGTCACTCGTCGATGATTGTTGCGGAAAAGGAATAGGTAATACTTTTGGTATCATCATAACCATTGCGAATATAATAATTTGTAAGCGCGTCATTTCTCCAAACATATAGTAAATAATACATACGCTCTTGGCGCATAATATTCTTATCATAAAAGAATGTAGTTAGTTTATTTATTATTATTATTATTATTATTTGCTCCACACCAAAACCAATCTTATGGGATTGAGTACACAGTTTTTTTATTTTTATTTTTTATTTTTTTTTCCTATCTAATATAACTCTAATTTTAAGTGAAACATCATGTGATTTCTTATTGCCCATTTAAATTAAATTGAAAGTAAATAAATATTCTTGATCATCTATAATAATTTAGTACCAATTTTTTAGATAAATGGATAAAAAATCAAGGAAGGAGAAAAAAGAAAGAAAAAAAGAAAGAAAAGATAAACAACAAGATAAACAACAACATTCTGAGAAACATGAATTTATTTTTCAATCAAAAAAAGATTTATCTGAAGAGGATATTAGACAAAAAACTAAAGAATATAATATTAAATTAGATCAAGTAATAAATCATTATTTTATATACCATTTTATAAAAAAAAAATCAAATTTTATTTTAACTAAAAAATTTTTCATTTTTATTTTACTTCAAATAAATAAAGAATCCTCATGATATTAATTTATGGCTTGAATTTATTGCATTTCAAGATAAAGCTATGCAATTTAATGTTTCAAGAAAATCTGAATCTACCAAACTAAGTATTAATGAAGTTAAATTAAGCATATTTGATAAAGCCTTACAATTAAATCCAAAAAATTCTTGGTTACTCGTTGAATATTTAAAATGTTGTGAACAAACTTATGAGTAAGATACCTTTTTTTCTTTTTTTTTTTTTTTTTTTTTTTTTTTTTTGAGATAACTCTTGATTATTTATTTATCTCTTTGACTTTACCAGCGTTCCAAAATTACTTACAAAATGGGATCAAATTTTAAATGAAAATCCTGGTGACATAGTACTTTGGATGGAATATATAACCTTTAGACAAACCAATCTTGTTTCTTTTAATGTTACTCAGTGTTTACAATTATTTGAAGATTGTTTGCATGTTTTGCGCAAATCAGTTTTGGTTGCAAATGATTATAATGGTAATTCAAAAAAAAAAAAAAAAAATCGAATGTATTGGGATTGAAAAAAATTTTTCTTATACTAATTTTCCTTTTTTAAAAGAGAAACTTCGAATTGAGCGAATTATGATTCACGTGTTTCAACGCGCCTGTGTCTTTATGTTACAATCAGGTATTAAACGCGAAGGTTTGTTTGGTTTCACTAGAAGCTAATGAAGAATTTATTAATTCATTAGGATATTCTGAAAGAGCTTACGCGTGTTGGCAAGCGATGGTTGAACTTGTCTTTTTTGCGCCGGATCATTTACGTCAACAAACTTTTTATGATCGTGTCGCAGCTTTGGAGGTCTTTTGGGAGGCTGAATGGCCTAGATTTGGTGAAGATGTTTGTGGAACATTATTTAATTATTTAATTTAAATGTATGAATTGCAAATTTTATTTACTAAATATATTTATAGGATGCCAAAGGATGGTCGTATTACGCCGATCAAGGTAAATTTTTTTTAGTTTTAAAAAGCGTGTAAACTATATTAAAAAAATTAATTGCTGTGATTTTGCATATAGGCAATAATGAGATGCAAGTTATTCCCGCGCCACTACCAAGTCCTATAAATATTTCTAACTTACATGGTTAGTTTGTTTGAAAAAAAAAAAAAAAAAATTTTTTCCTCTGAATCCTCAATGCAAGAATCGTTAATTTGAATGAAATAGGGGATATGTATGAGAAATGGGCAACGGCCGAAGAAATGCATAATGGTCAATTACTTTCAACACGAACAGGTAAGGAATTCTCTACTTCCACATTTAATTATACTTTGAACGCGATAAAGAAACAAATTCTTTTAATAGGGACGGGAGGTGACGATGACATCAATGTAGACGATCCATATCGGATTATAATATTTGACGATATACGATCATTCTTATATGACGTCACATTCCCTCAGTCGTGTATAGAACTTTTATATGCGTGCTTTTCATTTGTTGGATTGACGTTCAATCCCGGATATTCATCATCAAATCCGTTGATTACGGATACCTTACTAAATAATAAACTTGCAAATGAATCAATAGCGAACAAAAGTTTTTGGGCGACAAGATTGGAAGAAAATTGTTTATTCAAATTTCCTATCAAGGCATTTCCTCAAGTTGAAGATAATTTATTCAATTCACAAAATTGGATTTGTATTTGTGATGAAGTTGATGTGATAAATGTCGATATGAAATTTGTAAGGTAATGTATTTATGAGAAATTATTAAGAAGTTATTTATATATTTTATTTGAGAAGTTCATGAAATGTTCTTATTTCCGAATAGGAACGCGTTTTATCAGTTAAGACAAGTAGTGAATGACACTGGAATTAAATTGAGCCGTCTCTCGGTAGAGCATTTATATGATACGTCGAGGTAATATTTAGTTTCCTTTTTATTTATTATTGAATCATAATTTCTGTTGTTTTGATCTAAATGACTTTAATAATCTTATAGTGGTCAGTCGCTTGCAAAGAGTATGTTAAAGCGAGAAAAAATGAATCTCGCACTTTGGAATGGTTATGCGCAGGTTGAACGATCATCAAATAAATACTCGGAGGTATTCTCGATACAAAAATATAAATTATATATATTATTTTTTCCCCTTACGTATGTATTTATAATTTGTTAAATAAATAATTTGTTAAAAAACCTTAGGCACGTAAAATATATCTTGGTGCTATTGCACAGATTCTATCATATCCCGAACGATTTCAAATTGATGCTCCATTATTGCATAGAACATTTGCAGAAATGGAATTGGAACAAGGACATTATAAGACCGCTATGAGTAAGTATACTTTTTATATAGACTTGATTTCATTAAAATAGATTTGATTGTTATTATATTATATTTGTTTCGCAGATATTTTAACGCTGTTAACCGAAGAACAAGGGAATATTGGTAACATAATATATTAATTAATTCCTTTAAAGTATTGAGTCAATTCTAACATAATTTTATAATAATAAAAAAAAAAAGAATCGATAGCGGAAGTTGATGTATCAGTAACTAGATTGTTGAAGGCGAAGAAAGTTCGTGAACTAAAGTGAAAAATCGAATTTATTTAATATTAAAGTTATTAATAAATCCTTTTTATTTAGTATTATGCACAACAAATGGCAAAGTCCACAACAACGATATCACAATATGAATCAGGAAATTCATTACATTATTGTGTTTGTTATGCATTACTGGAATGTCTTAGTCAGAATATCCAACAAGCTTGTAAAATATATGAAGAAATGATACAAGATATAGAAATGAGAAAAGGTTATTTGGATTTAGAAGCTGAATTAATTTTCATGGCATATCCTTTAATTTAACTGTTATATATTGGAAAGTAATAAATAAATAATTAATTATTATTTGTCCTCAACAATAATATATACTTATGTAAAATTAATTTATCAGTACTCGAATTCATTCGCTAACAGTTATAGCCAAACATCATCAAATAATGAATCAGGGAAATTACTTCAAAATGTATTAACAAGAGCTATAAAGGCCTTTCCTAATAATACAATATTTTTATCAATATACTTCCATCAAGAAATTCATGGCAGAATATCAACTGGATTATATTCGATTTTGGATGAAACATTACAAAAGTATTATTTACTACATTATTATTATTATTTATTTAATATAAAAAATTTAAATTAAAAATCATCCCTTTTTTTAAGGAATCCAAGCCATATTATATGGACGTTTGTTTTATATTCGGAATTACGTCGGCAACAACCTTTTAATGTTAAACGTGTAAGATCATTATTTGATAGAGCGCTTGAATGTTCAAAGTAAGTATAAATTGTTACAATATTAATAAGTTATTCTTTATTAATTTCATTCATTTTACATATTAAGGACAAAGAGTTCTATTTCATTATGGACTTTATACATAAATTTTGAGATGACTTATGGTAGAAATGACATAGCTAAAACTTTATATTATAGAGCTGTAAGAGAATGTCCATGGTCAAAAGGTAAGGTTAGAATGAGTTTATCGTAATATCAAAAAATATTAACCATATCCTTTATTGGCTTATAGATCTTTATATAATGGCATTTAGAAAGTTACGTAGTTTATTCACTATAGATGAATTGGAAGAAGCTATGAATGTATTGTATGAAAAAGAAATTAGGTTAAGAGTTTCTATAGATAAATTTGATGATAATTTGAGGATTGATAATTAATTGTAATGGCAATTACATCAATAAAAATATAATTGAAGCTGAGTTTTGTTTTCTTTTGTTCTTAACAAGGAATTACTTCTTTACTATTTTATTATTATTATTATTATTATTATTAAATTCGGATTTGGGTTAAGATATTTTTGAAATTGAAATTGATGAAAATTTCATTCTCGCTCTGGTATTTAAAGAAAAATTTTCCTATCAACAATTTTGTGGGTTAATCTTGCTGGCAAACAACATTCATTGAACTTGATTCATATCGATAAATGATTTAACTTCTAATGAAATAATTTAATTAAACTTAAATACTAAAAAATCAATTGAATATAACAAATTATCCAATAACAAGTTTAGTTTCATTTTCAAAACTATATTCCGGAACTTCAAGATTAAGAGGAGCAGGTCCTTTTCTAACTCGACCTGATATATCATAATGAGAACCATGACAAGGACAATACCAGCCATGATAATCACCAGCTTCCCCAATTGGAACGCAACCTAAATGAGTACATACTCCCTAAGAAAAAAATGAAATGATTAAAAATACGTTCTGATGATAAATAAAATCAATAATTCCCTTTTTAAAAAAAGTTTACTTACAAGCATAACCAACCATTCGGGATTTTTTGTTCTTTCAGCATCGGTTTGAGGATCTTTAAGTTCTGATAATTGTACGGAATTCGCTTCAGAAATTTCATCTGGA